AACCACTTTATGAAGGCATTCTAAACCCCAAGAGGGTCCCATTCCCACTTTGCTCTGATCATTTTGTTCCCTGAGCTACTTTTGGGGAAGAATCTGTGTGATTAAGGGTGTTTAATACATAGTTAGCAATATATTATTACTCAGAAGTTTTAACATTTTAAATCAATATTTCTTAACCCTCAACAACTATAACGTCTTTGACTTCAACACTTGCTATTAAGTCCACAGATCTTAAAGTTGTTGAGTTGAGAAATGCTGATTTAAATGCAGGCAAAGACATACATAGCAATCCAGGCATATTTTAATATTTTGAAGGATTTATCTTACATTTTAAATTCCGCGGACCTCAAAAGGTATATGGCTGCATCACGCTTAAGATGGATATGTTAGCTGAAACAATTTTCAATTCTTCTGAAAATGATATTAAAAACTTCCAACTATTTCAAGTATACTTTCCTTTCTTTTTTTCTTCATCTTAAGAAAGGGACTGTCTAAAGCTAAACTGCCATTGTGTGTGTATATATATATGTATGTATCTCAATATCATATATACTTCATATAACTACTGTATTAACCTTAAACTGTGATGCATTGCTATGTTGGCCAGATTATAATGCACCTCAGCTTAAGAAGAACATTTGAAATTTTGAGAAAGTATCAAAAAAATTCTGATTTCACAGAAAGGCAAACTGATGAGTGAGATTTTAGTGGAGATTTTAGTCTCTCCCAGTCACCCAAACTCCTCTCCCTTTCTCACATACATAAGTGAGTTAGGAAATCATAAATCCTGCTAGAAGAGCAATCTTGCAGTTACAGAAAGGAAGATCTTGGGACAAGATCTCTGACAAGGTCTTCCGACTGTTTTGTTATTTTGCATTCCAAATAGTGTGTGTGTGTGTGTGTGTGTTTGTGTGTGAGAGAGAGATGTAGATTAGTTTTGGTTTAGCATGATATATAACACACCCAATACAATTTGTTCAAAACAGGTTATTTTAACATTCAACATATCAGAATTTTAAAATCTTGGTTTAGTATTATTTTTTAATATAGACAACGTGTTACTGCTTGTTTATAATTTGGGACTTTTGATTTTTCATAAACTAATTTTTGCATATGGAAAATGTCTTTGTGTAGCATGCAAGACAAACCCATTTCCTATAGAACACCATATTTAACCTTTTTTTAACCCACTTACTTTGCAAAACAAAAAGTGATTATAACATATTAACATATAAATGATTATTGTCACAATGCATTAGAATATAACTGAATCATTTTAACTAAGCATAACTAAATCATTTAAAAGGCAAATTTCCTATGTCCTTATCTGTCTTTATAAAAAGATATTCTGTGTCTGGTATTTGGATAGCATTTGGATTTAGAAGAACCCAAATCATTCTGCACAACATCATCTCAGTAGACAGGTTATCCACCCATTAACGTCTTATAAATCACGCTCTATAATTCATAATCCAGATAATAGTGTGAGTCTATGTTACATGCCACATATATTGTACAGTATATATTGTAACATACTATGGTATTTGTATTCAGCTAACATGTATAAAGATAAAATGATTAGTTCAAGAGGATATCACAATAATTTTTATTTATTGCCAAAAGACCAGAATAGACTAGTACTCAATGTGTCAAGTCAAGGCAGACAAAGGCAGACTGGCAATGCTCTTTTCCTGTGATATCACCTTGTAGTTCTTTCTTTCTACTATTAAAAATTCATTTATTTGTTTAGATATCTATTTAAATAAGATTTCAAAGACTGCCTAATCTTACCATTACTCAGGGAATGTAGAGAGAAAGGATGACCTTGAAAAATATATGCAGATTATGCTTAAACAATGGAGGCTGAAGCATTTTTAAGCATGATAACTTTAGGGAGCAGTTCAGGCAAATGTCTCCCAAATTCACTGGAGTGCAAGGAGGAAAAAGTACAACACAACATTGCCAATCTAAATAAAAGTATTTTTGGTTTTGTTATGAAATTGATTCTAGGCCCTGATTTATCTAATGGGTTAACAGGAAGGTCGAGGGGAACTTTGTGCGGGCAGCTCACCGCTGCCAACTTGCCATCGCCAGCTCATCTCTGCCAACTCATTGTCACCAATGCAACCAATTTGCCGTGGGGCAAACTCAGCACAACCAATTCAAGCCAAGCAAGTGAGCGAGCAGAGTGGTGGCGGCAGCCAGAGGTTTCCCAACAATGGGAGCGCCAGCTGGCTGAGCACGTGGGCAGAGTGTCGAGTGGTGGCAGCTGGAGGCTTCCCATTTTCATACTCCCTCCCACCACTGCCCCGAACTCTGGACCGTTGAGAGTTCGGGTGGTTTAGCAGCAGCCGTGGGTGAGGATGTAGCGGAGTGTATTCCATTTTCAGTCCTAGTGTGAAAATGAGTGTCATGGCCTCCGCCACCTGTTCCATTGCCAAATGGCCCAACTCTGAGACTGGTGGCAGTGGGGGGTATGTGGAAAATGAAGCTTTGCACACTCCATGAAATTCAGATACTACAACAAAGATTCCTATTAGTAGCAAATATAGATTAGTACTAAATTGATGCTGATGTGACTTTGCCTATAACTAAAATTCCCAGAGAAAAAGTAGGATTGCTTATCTAAGCACAGATATGTTGTCACAAAATTCTTGTTACCACTAGTTTTTACAAAGTAATAGTGATCTTTTCGGGTGAATATAAGAATGGACATTGGGTATTATTAGCACCTATGTGTCGGGCACATAGCAGATGCAACCATAAACTATCCAATATCACTCCTTATAAATGTTAATAACTATATTATTGGAGCACATACTTTATTATCCTCTGGTTTCTCATTAGAATTTCTTTCTCTCTTTGTTTCTCACATATAGCACAACTTTTGCATAAAGAATCATTTAAAAACATAAATAAAAATGTCTGAAAAATCCAATTCATGTCTTGCATTGCTTCCATAAATTAAGTTCTGAAATAATAGTTGTTATAAGGAACTCAAGTAGTCTTGAGAATTATTTCATTAATTTGAGGCCATTTGATTTACTCAATGGAAAAACAACTAACTGAATTGTGGGAATATTTTTCGATGTCTACAATAACTTTGTATTGTAAAAGTAAAACCAACAGACCAGTTTAAACTGAAAATTGGATTTACACCACATTCAAAAACTGTGGTTGACATATAGATTCTATACATCAATTTGATTTGATATCTAAATCAGAATACACTTTCGGTAATAGAGATTGAATTTTTCATATTTTATACTTGGTGACATACACTGTGCTGACCATGAGTTTTGTTATTTGTGCTTAGCTTGAGTTTACTAGTAACCTTTAGTTTTTAAAAACAATATGATATATTCAATTACTCATAATTAATCATGTTATGTTGGAAAATTACAATGTGCAAATTATTTTTATATCCCTTGTCTATTGACTTGTATTTCATGCTTTTATTCCTTGTTCCTTTTCATGTATCATTTTTAAAAATAGTTTATAAATCTCTCTCTCCCCTGAAAAAAACTATTAGTATAATTTGGAAGGAGAGGAAACTAATAAGTTGATAATACAAATTAGGTATTATAGAAAATGTTTAAGATATTAACCTGATGAATTTTAAGCTATTCACACTTAGTGTTACAACTTGTCTATGAAATTATCTTTGAACTTCAGGACATAATTATACTAATCATCTATTTATACTATCACTTATTTATCTATCATTGTTATACATACAGTACCCAGCATTTTACATTTTCAAGACGATCAATATTAACATTTCAAACGATAAAAATAACAACTGAAAAACACAGGAAAAAAGGAAGATAAAATAAACTACTTGAAAAATAAAGGTAAATAAAAGCTTAATGTTAGAACTTAATTACCTTGATGGGACAGATCACTCTCCAAGTGAAATATTATTACTATAAAAACTGTATATTCACAATGATTTTTCAGAATGTACTCTTCAACCTTGGATACAAAATAGGTTCTTTTTATTCTTTCCTTATACGTTCCTAGAGATGAAAGGCGCCATTTGAATCAGTTTAGCCCCTTACTCAATGCCAATCGAAGCATCTCAATCAAGCGGCTGTTCTACTCCTTCATGAACAATTACAGTCGATCTTACAAGTTTAATTTGATAATTGGTTTCGCTGTTAAGAAGTTTCACTTAATGTTAGACTGGAATTTGTTCTCCATGAATTCAAGAACATTATTTCATGTCTTGATTTTGAAACAAGAGAGACCCGTTTCTATCTGATCCTTTCCAGGAATTTCAAGAGTACTTTCATTTTTTTCCCGCTGTCTTCTTCCTAGTTCCAAATTTCATTACTGCAATTTGGACTTTTTTCCAGGCGCTTCTATCGAACAGTTTGCATGAATTCATCTTAAAGTACGGTGCCTTGAATTAGACAGGTTATATGATGCAGGGGAGTATGATTGACTCAGAACAGATCTCTGTTCCCTGTGATTTGGAAATTATTTCTTTCTTCTTCTTCTTCTCGATAACAAGAAACGGATGTTCAATATTTTTATACGCACTGTAACACTGGAGGGACTAATCCAGGCGGCTGTCAGGAATCAACACTGACTCGAAGGCACAGAAGCAAACAAGTAAGCAAACAATCCTATTCTCATCCTATTCTAAGAATATAATAGCAGACAAAAGCAAAGAACAAAAATGTACAAAAAACAAGGCAGAAAAGAAAACCATAAGACTCTTAACGTGGTCCTCCGTAATTTATAGTCAGCAAAACGTCCCATAGAACTTACTCCTAGTTGTATTTGCATAAGAAATGACATATGCAAATACAGATATGTAAAAGCACATTCTAGTTTTGATTTAAAAAAGTTGAAATCTTGAGATGGAATCACATCCTTTCATAGACCCAGTAACAAAAATCTTATAATGACCAAGGGATTAGTTTACTATATTTCAAGGCTATTTAGGATCAGGATGTTAAGAAATAAACCATCTCTCTGTCTCTCTTTCTTACCTGGGAGGAAATGAAATGTCCAGTTCATACAATTTGTCTTTAAAGACTGACAGCTCTTTGTCAAATTCCAAAAGCTAATGGGAGAAAAACAGAATACAACATTAAAATACATACAAGTTCTGTTCTGCTTGAAAATAAAAATACTTGGGAACATTCTGAATTGCTATGTTGTAATTAGGCTTTGAGATTTTGCTAGTGCCATACATCATTATTTCAGGGCACATAAAAAAGCATTTTAAAATATCAGCTAAAAGCAAAACATAGAAAAAAATAGTGACGTTTACTGGAAATTTAAAGTTTTCTAACATGCTGAGGAAAAACAACAGCAGCATCACAAATTACCCTGTTGAATGTTTTTAAGAATGTACAACTTCAGTGATAATAAAGATTAGATCAGGTTTTTAAAAGTAAGGTATATCAAAAGTAAAGTATGTCAGAAAAATTGTACTCCCAGTCATTTTATTATTTAGTAATAAAAGTAAAGGTTTAGGCGGAAGAAGGTGTGAAAATTGAATATTTTGTTCACAACTGCACCCCCGGGAAATATTTCTATTCAGCTACTTTGAGACAGTTAACCAGTTTTCTCCAGGCTAACAGAACAGAACCTTACACTCATATGGAGACTGTAGCAATCTCAAAAGAAAACCAGCAGAATTATATATTGTAAGCCATTTTTAATATTTACACATAGGATATTTTGTCCAATTGATGCACAGTCTAAGCTGGCATTCAAAATTAGTGGATATTTCAATCCAAGAAATATCCTGATGGACAATACATCCCCTCCCTCCCCATTATTCCATACCCAACAACTGGTGGTGAATCTGACATGCAAATGAAGGTGTAGCATAATTGGCCCTCTGCTGTCTAAGCCACTTTCAGTTTTGGCATGCGTGGCGTTGAAAACAACACTCCTTATAAGACTGGTGTGTTTACTCCCTGTTCATTAATCATGTCCCAACTCACAGCTGTGCTGATACCATTGTATCAATGGCAGAGGTTCCGAATGAAATTAGATTATGTTCTTCTTTCCCCTCTGCTCCCTCATAAATCATTCCTGAAATGTGCAATTAGCAGCTACTTGTACACATTAATTATCTGTGAGAAAAGCAGATACCTTTGGCCACCTGCACAACTGATTAGCTCCCTCCTCCCTTGCGACCCACCTATGTCGCTTTCGGTCTCCAACTGCATTGTTCCTGGCCACCAATCTAGGTGGATGTTTGCTAACAGTGGCTGCGCACAGATGCCAACATTAAAACCTATTCCTCTTTTTCCTGAATTACTTCTTGTCTCAGGGAGCAAAACTCCTGTTCTCTAAATGGAAATATCAAAAGTTCAAAAATCAGAAGTTTAAAGTGAGATACCAATACCCCTAATGAAATTCCCAATCAAATGTCTCAAAGGACCCAATAAAATAGTGCAAGTTGTATGCCCCATAAATGCCTTTAAATCAATACTCCAGAATCAAAATTGAGGACATCTAAGCACTATCTAATTTTAAGAGTTCAAGATCCCCTGTGACATTATAATTTAATTGACATCCCACCTTTCTACAATGATAGCTTACGCAAAAATAACATCAGACTCCATGAGAGAGAAGGAGAGAAAGAGGGGGGGGGGACTCAAGCTGAATTTAACTAATGCTAAAAAGAAACACACAACAGTTTATAAACAAGATGCTACGAATTGTTTAATAGATGAATACAAATATTTGTATTATTGTTTCCTTCCTCTCATATCATACAGTTCAGAGTTGCTGTATCAGTGAAATGGACAGCATAGAAATTTAATATATAAGTAAATAAGTAAGTAAATATCTGATACAAATCAATTTGACCTGTTTTAATTAAAGATGTATCACAAATGAAGTGATATGTAAATTATATTAATAAACAAAACTAATATTCTCTCTTAACTATGATGTGAAAAATAGATTTGGGTTGCTTTCAGTATTAAGATGTATCTTATCCACATTAACAATGTTTCAAATTAAAGCGGATAATGAAATGTGAAACTTAATTAAAGTCAGAAAAAGCAAAAAGAATCCTATTTGGAGCAAGAGAACTAAATAAGGTTAGAATTATGGTACATACATGAGCATCATCCCCTTTCATTTTCATGCCAAGTTCATTTTCATATAAGTCACTGTACACTGGTATATACTGTGCATTTAATCACTAGTATTATCATAGCATATTGTTTTTATAAACATGATGGGAAAATAGAAAGGAAATCCCCTACAGATACATACATGCATCATATAGAGAGACATATGTGTGTCTTGCTTTTCTTCCTGACAACGGATGGGAAGGAGCTTCACTGGCCCTTCTGCTTTTGCTGAACTCCAGCTCCTCACGCATTTCCCCCCATTGGTCTCACAAGTACAAAATGATATTTTCCTCCCAAATTTTGGAGAAAATAATATTAATAATATCCAGAATATTAAAATTTTCTACAGGATATATGGAAAACTGCTATACATTTCTCCTTTTTGTAGGCCAAGGAGATACCTGCATTCCAGAGAGTGCTAACCTTAGCATATTTTAATCTCCTCCTTAAGGCAATTCTTAAGGAGGAAGGGGAAAAAATTCCATGTGTGGTAAGACTCTTGAGGAGGTGTACTGAATTCATAGTCCATATCTTGATATACTGCATTTGTATGTGAGGTTTACCTCATCACTCTTATTTAACCAAGTACCCAGGCAATTCTGATTTTTTCCTATGTGCAGCTGTTACTATCAGAACAAATATAGTTCCGTTTTCATGAATGTGGACAAAATTTGCTATGTTGCAAAACCATGCAGCTATTTATTGTATTAATGGTGTAGCTAAAAACAATTGTCAGGATTGCAGCCATCTTTCCTTTTGGATCTTTGGCCTGCCACACATTCTATTATTCTACTATGCCTTTTCTATTGTGGGAAAATGGGAGGGGGAAGTGTACGGAGTTAGGTGCTATGTAGCCAAAACAAAATTCCTTTCTAGAGAGCCAAGGTCACCCTTTGTCTCTGCACCTCTGTACCTGACCGGAACTGGATGGGTGGAACTGCCACCATGGCAATGGAAGATTGGACCATGGGATGGGCTTGTGGGTGTGGGGATGCAAGATCTTGAACTTTCAACTGGGTGGGGAAAACCAGGAAGCTTCCAGATTCGGGTTTTCCCAGATGTGCCAACATGGTTCTCTTAATAAATTGGAACTTTGAGCAATACTTTGCCTTGGACTCTGATTTAATTTTGGATGCTATTTGGAACCCTGACAATACTATTTTTACCTTAGGAAACTTAATTGATGCTAGAAAGAAGAGTCTTCCTAACCAAATGTTTCATAAATCATTACATATAGAGGTATACATCCTGTGGATTTCAAAGACTTTTGCTATTTGTCATGAAATAACACATAATTTTACAACAACCACATTAACTATTTTTAATTTTAATTACATTTAAATAGAAATGAAATGAACTTTATTTATTTATTTATTTATTTTGTCACAGTTTCAATAACT